AAAACAAAACATTGTAAAAAAAATTGTAACCCGGACACGATCAGCAGACAAAAAACAGGTCAGCTTCTCCAGCCTCCATGTTCCGGTGGATCTCGAGAGAAACAATCGACCGCTGCGGGCCGTCCTCCGGTCCTTGAAGCCGCCATTCCGACAACGCCAATTTCTGTCGTCGCATGAAAGCAGAAACACGTTGGAATAATGCCAGAAAAGTCTGCGTGTGTGGTCGCCATAAATGATTTAATTCTGAGCAACAGGCAAACAGGACCCAATCAGGAAACTCTGTTGGCTCGTCGCTGACACGTCAGCGGACACAGCCAATAATATACACCATGATAACATCATATGACGTGCTTATAACAATCACAGATTGCCCAATGTACTCTCCAGCCTCAAAGGGCTCTCAGCTCAATGAGTGTCTTATCAAGCAAGGGAGGTCAGTCCGTTGCAGAGTCCTGATGTCTGGACAAACAGATTAACATTGAACAAGTGAACCGATAGATAATTAGTCCATAACAGGTTGCAAACCCGTTTTAGGTTGTAAAGGTTATTTAAAAATATTATTTATTTATCAAATACTGACTGAGTTATATTAAATTAGAGAGAATTGGTTCTGAGTGCTGAATGACAGCTGAAATTTGCTGAAAAAGCTAAAACAGTAAAAAAGGCTAAAAGCTAGAAAGAACAAAACACTTATTTTATTTAAGTGTTTTAGCTTGTAGTTATTGTTGTTTATTTAGAATTCAAAATGCTAGCTAAAAGTAGCAGAGCAGTAGCTAAAAGATAAGAAAAACAAGCTAAAATCCAAAATTTGTAACATGCCAGCTGAAAGTTAATAGCAAAATCCTAACTAAAAGCAATTTGTAGCAGAACAGCAGCTGAAAGCTAAACATACCAAAAGGCTAGATAAAAGAAAGAAGTAGCTAAACAGTTGCTAAAATCAACAAAAAAGCATAAGATAAAAACAGAGCATGCATGCTGAAGCAGATTTCAAACAGAACCATTTGAAAATAATTAAGAGATCTGAATATATGTCTATGGATAAAATATTTGTAAATAAAGTTAAATGTTAAAAGTATAAAAGTTACAGAAAAACAAAGCTATAGCACCTATTTTCACAATTAGCTGTATGTTTTGAAACTGCTAAGATAGCTGGTTTTACTGCGTATGCCCTGCAAGTCTGTGTCAGGTCCAAATCTGGTTAGTTGTGCAAAGATTTTTCAGTGAGCCCATGTGTTGCTGGATCGGGACCAAAACACAGAACTCCAAATGAAAAGGATCACGTATCGGATTTTAAACTGGAGATTTCAAGATTCATAGTAAGGTCTATACAGTTAATCTGAGGACAAGACAAAAATACATTATTAAAAGCTATACTGCTATATTTCTAAAACAAAGATGCACAGAAATTGAACAGTTCATCATAAACTTTATTCAACTTGGTCACAAACACCCTCTTGTAGGCATTAAAATCCAGAGAAAAAGATGAAATTGTCTTAAACATTGTTCTCTCTTATTCAACGCATCTCTGAAAAGTACGCATCAGTGATAAAACAAGATAATTGTTTCAAGTTCAACTGAATTCTGCTGAGTCATTATGAAATGTCAATTACAAAAAGAATAATGGAGGGCATTTAATGCTTCTATAGAAAGCTGTAAAGCTTTAAAAGAAATAAAGCAAATAATTGTATTTCTCTTCACTGTAATTTTTACATTATATTTAACTTTACTACAATCCTGATACATAATACTTTCCCATTTAGATAGAAAATTACCAAGTAAAACTTAGAAATGTGAACCATAACTGTTTGAAGACAAGGCAGACAAGTATAAAGACTGGATGGAAAAAAAGACGGATAAAGCAACAGATTGCTAAAAAAAAAAAAGTACCTTCATAAAACATATGAATCTCAAGACTAGATTAGAAAAATATTTGGCTGAAGTGTTTTAAGACTTCCACCTCAAGACGTGCCATCTTTTTCAAAATGTTTTCACTCAGTATCCTGGTCCAATAAATTAWAGAACAGATAAAAGTTTGGTTTTATTTTTGCACTGGCTTCAAAATCCATCACAAAGTCTGTCAATCACGTGTGCAGGTTTTTGTGGCAAAGTAAGAGGACTGAACTCTCAAGCAAACCTTTTGTTTTGACTCAAACTGGTAAAACCTGAAAACACTGCAGTACATTATAGTTATCTGAAAGTGCATTTGTTACAGCTTTTTTTAATAACCTGCTTTTTCTGCTCAGTCACAAAGGAAACCAAGCCTGAAGTATACGTCCTGATGAGGTTGACTGTCACAGATCAAATTAATTCAATGTTTTTTACCATGAGAGGAAGCCAGAATAGCGGAAAACCTACAAAATGCACATAAAAATGGCCCACATAATTGAAATTTGGATTATAGATCATTGTGCTGTAAAATAACAGAGTTTAACCATATATGTTACATAGTGTTACCCACCCCCTTTCATTCTATTAATCATAAGAACACAGCTGTACAAAGTAAACAATACATTCATTTAATTTAAGCACAATACAAAAAAGTGGTAAAGTTATTTTCATTTACAAGTCTGTTAGCAATCATATATATCATAGCAAAATTAGACAAWGTATTTTATTTAAAGTACAATTTTTCCCCTCCAAAGCTGCAAACAAACAAACTGGTCAAAAATAACTTAAGAAAACAATGAATCACTTCATGATAAGCCATTTTAGGGTAATCTTTTTGAAAATAGACATGTRAAGATAAAACACTTTGACATCATGTTAGAGATCGTTTTAAAGACGTTTTCGTGTGCAGGACATTCAGATGTCGTGTAATCCACAAACCAGATTAGCAGGCACTGCTTTGTCTGCAAAGGAAGAAATGGAAAAAGTTATTTTGAGAACAGTGGACGTTTGTGCCGTGAAGTGTCCGAGATGTGACATTTTATTGGCACAAGAGCTTCTAGATGTTTAAGTTTAATCATTAGTGGTTTCCATACCTATTTTATATGGCTTAGGGAGATTTAGGTTCTTCATGATTTCCACAAACTGCTCTTTGGTCTTTGTCAAGCGRGGGTTAAACTTACGTTCTTCACCAACTGTGGAAACTGTTTGACCTGATGCACACACAAAAAATAATAATAATAATAAAAAATAAATAAATAAATAAATAACCCATGATTACATTTAGTCTTTAACCGATTTCAATGTGAAGATAAATTACATGATACAATTAAAAATTAAAAAACACTGATATTCTCTAAAATACATAATAAATAACGTCTGACAACAAATGTGCTCCATTTGTAGTATTTCCTTTGAAAAGGGAAAATACTGAGCAAAACCATAAATGATTATTGGATGGAAAATAATTGTAAGTACTTAGATGTTTGAATTTTTAACCTACCTATATAGTCATGAGCGGGATAGACGAGGCACTCATCAGGCAGCGTGAAGATCCGATTATGGATCGACTCATACAGCTTTGTAGCAGAACCTGAATAAGAAAGACAAAAATTATACAGAAGTAATAGTATAATATAAAAGCATGTGTGAAAATTTGTAACAAAAAATAATCCATGTTGAAGTTTGTATAAAAGCTTTGACGTATAAATACTCCGAAAGGTTAAAATATAGTGACAATGGGCCTCATGCAAGAACATGTTCGTATTCTTATCCTAAATTTCTTTTACTTTTGTTCCTACAAAGGATTCGTACGAACATGTCACGTCAGATTCAACAAACTCTTCTATCTTCAGGAAAAGTGTGTAAATGAGCTGCGTAAATTCCACCTGTTCGTATCCAGCTGC